TGGTAAACCCTTGTACCAGCCTGCCTGGGCATGAGGAAGGGGCGAGATGGCTGCTGCTAGGGCACTCCTGCTTGCTTGGGGTTGCATCAGGGAACAAATTGTCTCCAGAGCTGGCATAGCTGAATTGTCAAGTGTCGCTTGTTTTTAAGCAAGTTTTGGCTGATTTGGTTATTTTTGATTGGGTTTTTTTGGTCTGGGTTTTTGGGTTTTTTTGGCTTCGGTTTCCCAGAGCTGCACTAGTGTAGTTGACTTTCCCAGTTGATAGTTACTGATATGGGGATGGGAGGAAAATGAAGCACGGAGGCTACAGGAAAATTTGTTTTCAGGAGAACAATAATGCCATATATCAACAAAATGTTTTGTTCTGTCACTTGGTAGCTCATCGGCCATGAGGCACCTTCTTGGGATTTTTGTACACTGAGGGCAATGGCTTGTCTACACCTGAGTTAGTAGAAGATGAAAAAGGTCTTCATGATTCTTGTATGATAGACATAGAAAGAGTCCTATAGAGATGTATGGTAGCTGGATTGAGGCCAAAGCCATCACATGCCTCTTTGTAGTAGCTGCATAAACAGAGGATGAGTAGATAATTTCCCGCTCTCTTCTGCTCTTGTCTAAGATCTGTCTTGTCATAGATAATTATAAATCAAAAATAATGAACTTCCCCTTTAATGCATTTGAAGCTTTGGCATGAAGTGGTGTAAACAAGTTCTGAAGTCTAGTATATGGGAGCATTAAACCTAATTATTAATAGATAAATAACTCTTCATCAAAAACTGAGGGAGGATTTTGGGGCTGGTAGCATTTTATGGTAAAATGTATATCCATAAACAGTAATAACTTGAGGATCCTGTGACTAATCTTGTGTTCACAGAATAGATGCACTCTGTGTGTAAATAAATAAAACAGAGAGGAGCTAGTTTAGTGTGCTGCCTGCCTGGACCTAGGAGTCCTCCCCCAGACCTCAGCTCTTCCCGTGCTCCTGGAATGCACAAGGATAATACTTCGATTCATGCCTCCTTCTGGTTTGTGCTTTCAGTTCAGTGATTTGGCTCAAGTGAGGTAACACAAGGATCTGGCCTTTTTAGACTATGGTCTTTTATGAGTGGACAAGCTCTGCTCTTATATTTTTGAGTTTTCCTACAAAGCTGTTAACAACACTGAACACTGGAAAGAATTATCTATGGTTAAATTAAGTGTTAGCAGTACAGTTAACCTTAGTATTTTAATTTCAACAAAGAGGCCTTTCATTGTTCATGTGTTTTCTAAAAATAAATCTCTTCCATGAATCCAGCAAATGCATGGCTGTACAAATCCTTGTTTTTCCTCTAGGGTTATAAACTCCTTATTATACATCCACTTAATTTCTCCTTCATTACCTCTTTTCTCTGCATACTCTGCTCACAGTTCCCCAGGCAGTGAAGTTCATTGCACCAATACCATTGCTATCGTAGCATTGTCATCCAAACCCTGGATGAGCCACTATGAGTCCTGTTTTCCCTCTGAGTAAAGAT